TCTAAGTAACTATCGGGTTCATTGAAAGCTTTTTCTGCTATTTTTTTTTTATTATTTTAAAATTAACTTATAATTAATTCCATGATAGGACCCAATTTTAAAATTTTATAGGTTGTAAGTTTTTAAAGATTTGACCATATTTAAGATGTTTGTCTTAGTTTCCTTGATTTTTACAAATATTTTCAATTTCACCCTTATAATTCTTTTAATTTTTAAAATTTGATCTCTATGTTTTAACTGATATTTATTTTAGTTGGGAATATTTTTTATTTTTTTTCATTAAATTGCATCCTCCTTGAGTTTTTCCTATTAAATTTTATCCTTATTTTTTATGTTGCTTTTATAATTCTTTTTATTAATATTTTTCTACCGATCTTGTCCTTCAAAATTAAATTGATCGAGAATTATGCTTTTTAATTGAATCTGAATAAAAAATTTCATGGAATGTGACTTTTAGAGATTAGATCATGTTTAAGAGCTTTGCCTTATTTTTTTTCTTTTTCTAAATTGATGTTATCTTATTTTTTTATCCTTTTATTTAACTTTCTTTTTCTATGTTTTTTTAGTTTGATTTTATTGGGTTAGCTCTCGATAATATTTTTCTATTTCACCCCATCATTTTTTAATTTATAAATAATCTATCACATGACAAATGATTTTCAATTTCATCCCTATTACTTTTTAATCTTTCAAGTTTGGCCCTAATTCTTTTAACTATGTTTTTTTTTGTTTGTAATAATTCGTTTTTTAAATTTATTTAACCCTCATTGAGTTTTTTCTTGTCATATTTTAGCCCCATTTTCTTTTTGTTGATCCTTTTGTTTTGCAAGTTTTTTATTAATTTTTTTTTTTAAATTTCATTCTTTAAAATTAAATTTCATGATGTTTAAGATTATTGATTGAATTCGGATTCATAATTTAACAAGTTACAATTTTTTAAATTGCAATAGATTTAGTAAGTTCATCTAAGTTTGTTTGGTTTTTTCTTTTATTTTAATCTGATTTTTTTTTTAATTTGACTCTTTTTTTATGATTTTTTTCAGTTAGGTTGACATTGAGTTGTTTGATAATTTAAATGGGCTCAAGTGTGGTTTTTTTTTTGTCAGTTTATTTACTGATGTTGATTTTTTAAAAAAAATATTTAAATTACTAGTTTAATCAATGACTTAGGGCTTGAAATTTTTTTTAACCTACCATTTTGTTTACATTAAAAAAATTATTCAACTGTGACAACATGGAAACAACATTTCTAGTAACTACTGTTGGTTTGTTAATTTTACAAGGGTTATTAGCTACTGTCAAATTTAAATAGGTATATGTATATATATATATATATATTAGTCTTCATAACCAATGTACACTGTTAATTTTACAAGGGTTATTAACTACTGTCAAATTTAAATAGTTATATATACATATATATTAGTCTTCATAACCAATGTACAAGAGTGCTTTTGTATGTTTAATTTATCATGCATAGTAAAATGACTAGAGTATCTTTAAAAATAGAAAATTCAACTTATATTTAGGGGTATATTTGTATTTTCACTTCTTTTTTTTTGTTATTACCTTGTTGTTAGAAGGGTACTTTTGTAATTTTAGATATAAATATTATTAAAAAAATAGGTGGCCTTAAGGTTATTATGCTCGTCGAGCAGCATGTGAGACGCCACCTAGTGGCTAAATGCTGGCTTTAGAACGACATTTAAATTGTCTCGATGACTTCTTCTTTTCTAGGTGCAGTGTATAGCCAACAAACCTTAAGTTTAGCGTTGATGACCTTTTTTTCGATCTTCTTTCTTCTCCTCAATTTTAACGCTTGCCATTGCAAATTCTCAAAGCAACCATTCAATTTATTTTTTCTTCATATTTGATGCACGTTCTTTTTTTTATTATTTGTTTTATTTGAAATAGTTTATAAAATTGAATTTTTTTTTTTAATTTCATCCTTCAATTTTTTACATGTCAGCTTTGGTCTCTATTCTTTTGATTGTTATTTGTTTTATTTGAATTTATTTTATGATTTCATCATTTTTTAATTTTTTCTATTAAATTTAATCCTCATCCTTTTTTTTTATGTTGATGATTTTTTAAATTGATATTTTTTTGAGTTTTATCTTCAATATTAAACTAGTTGAGAGTTGAGTTACTTGATTAAGCCCGAGTTTAGGATTTCACAGGTTATGAGTTTAAAAAATTAACAAAAATTTAAAAGATTCGTTCGAGTTTGCTTGTTTTTTTTTAAGCTTATATTTTTTTTAGTCTTATCCTTTTACATTTATTTATTTGACACTGGACTCGATTAATTTTTTTTATTTACTTTCTATATAATTTTTTTATTGATTTTGAAAATGACCTAAATTATCTTAGGTATTTTTATTTTTCATTATTTGTTAAATTTATATATTTTTAAATATTTTATTTTTAAATTAAATTAAATTATTTGATTAAATATAAACACTAGATGTTTATTTCATGATATTATTATTTTTTTATTAAATATAAGCAAGGAAGCGTGTCACTAAATTTTATCGAATCATTAGCTACCAAAAAAGTTTCTCATGATTTGAATATTTTTTAAATAAAAAAATTGAGTGAAGCCCACGGCATTGTTAGAAAAAATACATGAAAGATTTGAATGTCATAATAAAGACAAATAAAAAAAAGAAAAAAAGATTTCAAATCTAAAAAAAATTATTATTCCTAACAAACTAAGCTATAATTCTAAAAATTTAAATTAAATCATCAAAAAATATTTTACAAATATTAAAAAAAAACAATACGCAATTAGTCCATAAATCATATTTTGTGGGTACCATCGCTAGTTTTTGCTACAAGGCTGCCTCTTTGTGTTCCTATCGCTTGTTTCTTTTTCATTTTTTGATCCTTGAACCTTAACCTCATGTTCTGCTGGGCCGTATGGATTAGCTGATTCGCATGTTCGAGCCGAAGCATGTATTGCCTATGTCCTCTACAAAAGAATAAATTAATATTATTATTATTAATGAGTTGTTTGCTGGATTTAAAATGGAGTTTTCATTTGAAAAATAAGATCAATAAATTATTTAAATTAAATATGTACTGAGAACATAAAATATACTATATATTATACATACATATTTTGAATATTTTTATTTGTTTTTGTATTCTTAACAATGTGAACTCCTTTTTCAAATTCGTTTAAAAGTAGCTCTTTACATTTTACATTGAGTGTTTGAGAAAGTAAAACGGGAACAGATAAAATGGAAAATGATTATTTTTTATTTATTTCTTTTGCGTATTCTTAACAGCGAGTGTTTTTCAAATTTCGTTTCAATCATTAATTAAGTGGCAAACACTGGTTGTTCAAAACTCAAATCCTCAAAGCACATTTTTTGAACTCAATTGCCTTGTGAAGAGATGGACTAAGGAAACGAAGATGTTGCTTTGCTTGTGTGCCGAGGAGCAAGTGTCTCGGGTACTGCAAACTCAGAAATACATGGGTTTGTGGCGAGCCTCTTGACCCTCCTCTCTCACGCTCTCGACTTTCTAAATCAACGAAGAGCCAAAGGCCCAAGCGACGACGCTGATAAACTCTTTATTTTAGGGTTTATTCAAGGTCTGCATCTAATGTTAAGTATACACATTGAGGGACCAATAAGTGTTATTGCACCATTCTATATGTAATTTCACCATTTTACGTTTCAAGTCAAATAAATAATGTTTACTGGTGTATCATATTTTATACAAAACTCATTTGCTTAAGAGATTGCTCAAGAGACATGTGATATAGAAGAGTCAAAATTAGAGTGATGACTCGTTAGTCCAATTTTATTTTTAGGCCAAACCTTGAATTTAACTTTGTTAAAATCAGTTATGATTATTTTTTGTTTGATTTGGTTTTTATTAAAAAATAATCAAATCAAATTAAAAAAAATAAAACCAATTTAAACCGATCAATTTTGGTTTGGTTTTTTAAAAAAATCTAGTTCAAATTAGTTTGACTTGGTTTTTTTCTTATTTTTTAGTTTCAATTTGGTTTTTTTGTTTCATACTTATAAAACTAAAACCAAACTGAACTAGTTAGTTTTTTCAAAATTTTAATTTTTTTAATAGTTCAGTTTTTTTTGTTATCTTTTTCTAGTTTTCTCAATTTAATATATTTTTTAATTTTTTGGCTCACTCCTAACTAAAACCAATCGCACATAAATCTGGTAAAAAATAAAACTCAACATTTTTGAACTAACTATACATTAAATCCAAATGCAAATAGATCTAGCAAGTCACTGAGCTCAATTCTTTTGAGCTAGGCTAGCCTAATGCTAATCTCAACATATGTAAATCTAATAAAATACCTAGAATACCAGACCCAACTCAACTCAACTCTATTGGACTTGATTATGCACAGACCTGAAAAGATGTATAACCCATATCCTTGGGTTCAGAATTATTTCAGATTGAAATATATAGTCATTGGCCATTACTTATCTCATGTTGAGTTGTAAGATTATCCTTATAACTCTTACAATGGAATCTTAAAGAGCTTAAGATAATCATCTCCCGACACTCTTTAAGTGTATAACACAGGGAAAGAGAGCGCATTCATAAGAAAAAACCATCAACGCTAATGCCCGACTTACGAAAACACAGAAACGCTGGAATGGAACTGGAAGAATGTACTGCTCTATTATTCCCTACACGAGAAGAAAGTATACAACTTTTTTGGTTTTTGTCAGAAGCGGTAAACAAAAATAACCCTACCTTCAAACTACAAAAACAAGGCCACCACGCATGATGAACAGGAGCTTACTATAACTAACATGCCTGGAAATTAATTAGTGAAATCCACTGTTTAATTTCTATTTCACTTAGAATAAGGCAAAATAAACAGAGCAGGCATCCAATCTAACCAAATTCTACAACCGAGACTAGGGCTCACTCAGCTGCCTGGGCTGGGCCATCCGGTCTGAAACCCCGACCACGCCCACGACCCCTGCCCCTGCCTCGTCCTCTCCCTGCATGGCCAAATAGTTCTAATTTCAGATGAAGATGATAACCAGAAGAGCATATATCATTTGAAAACCATTTCAGCACTTCACCAGTGGATCACTGTCGTGCACTCCAGCATCACCTTATTTGACACAATGAACTCCAAAAGAGAGCCAAGAAATAATTCATAGTTTTCTTCTCTATTTTTTTAGCTCAACTGAAGTTCTGGATACTTCCATCAATGGATGTAAAGATGTTTTCAAATGATGAGGAAGAAAAGTGTGATTATAAGAAAACAAAATATGATTAATTTGGTTTCTAAAGATCATAAAAAATAACTATCATGCCCACAAATAGAATGAATTGAGTTGTATCATATAGCATAAATGTGGAAGAATTCCATGATTCAATGCAAATGAGGAAAGGACCACAAGGGAGCACAAGGGAGACAACTAGAGGGTTCCTTTGATGCAAAGCTGGCCAATTATCAGCAAGAGGAGGTTTTCTATTTGTACCTGTTACAAATTTTATTTGTAACATCTTAAAATCTATTGAGCAGGAAACAAAGTTATGATGACATGATTATGAAATCTTACCACGGCCCTGGCCAACAAATGCTCCGCCCCCATAGTCGTTATAGCCACCTGACTGTTGTGGCATATATCCACCACCATAACCTCTTCCACGACCACGATAACCCCGTCCTCTTCCACGACCTCTCCCCCTGCCACCATATCCACGCCCAGCATCCCAGCCACCATCTCCATTGTACTCCACCCCTCCATTACTAGTATTTCCTGTGCACAGAATGGAAAATGACTTCTTGTTACTTTCCCAAAATAAAAGCAGATATAATGAAAGATAAACAATAGGCAAGGAAAACAATTGATCTGAGGTGGAAACAGAACTATTAGCCAGTTCAGATGATAAAACTTGAAATAAATGTTGCATCACTGTTTTATGGAAGTGATCGAGCTATTCAGACATCTCATCCCACCAAAATTTTCTGCTCATCTATAATTCACATAAGCACCAACATATTAAAGAGATCAACGCCAATCATCAAAGTTCATGTCATAATGTTCCTACCAAATACAAGCCTACATGCACACCCATTTTAGACAATAAGAAAGTATAGTTAGTTAAGGTACTGCAACAATCCCTGTTACAAAAAGATTGCTCACCAACAGCTCAAGCAAAGTATGATTTGGTTGATTTACTTCATCTCCTAAATCCCACCCAATATTGCTTCAAAAATCTATTTCCTGATTTAAAAACATTGACTCACCAACAGCTAAATAGCATACAATATATAGTTATTAGAAACAAAACACGCCCCCAACTGCAACCAATAGAAAACGAGTAGTATATCAAGCACAGTTAAGGTTGCGCCATTTATTACCTCTACCTCTTGCCATTCCTCGACCACCACGCCCTCTCCCGTGCCTACGAGGAGAGCCCCCCTCTATATCAATAAGAAGAAAGATAAATGTCAATTGACATGCCACGAAGATTACAATCAGAAAGAAATCAGAAGCATTTGCATTACCTCCTTCATAATCATATTCAGCCAATGGTTTCACTTGATCAGCTGGAATAGGCAATTGGTAGCTAGAGAAGAAGTAGATCAATGGTATTAAAAATGCACCAAATTTAAGACTAGAAAGTACTCCAAAATCTTGTGATTTCTCCGTAGAACATGATGTTAAAAAGCTAACAGTTTTATACATGCATGCTTACATATTTATGGATGCAAGCATATGTATATATATAAGTATAATACAATAGAGACTGCGGTGAAATAGCATTGACTCAATTTTGTCTCAATGAAAACCAATTTGATCAGAGTATTAGCTTCAGGCACAAAGGCAGATCCAACTTACCCTGTGGAGGATGTATCCAGTTCCTTCTTGGATAGAGTAATTGTTATCACCGACACGTGACGAGTGGTTTCCAAGCTGTATTGATGACAAATGAATCAATATTGCAATCAAGACAAAACAATACACCATAAAGGGGCATGGAGAATGCTCCGGGGAACTCTTACGGGAGAAGACCCTCCTCTAGTGGCTCCCACATGTCAGTTATATCAGTAGAACCAATGGATGTATTCTGATAAAGACCAGCAATCCTTCTCTGAAATAGAAAGGAAATTCTTGGTATAATCAAAGATAAAACAAATGGAATGACAGTTCTGACAATACCTTGCAAACATATTCTAGTCTCTGTGTTAATCTCAATGAGAAGGTGCGGAAAAATTAGAAAGGCAAATTAAACAGGGAAAGCAGCAAAGTAGAAAAAATTAAGGAACTACCTTAATCAATTCAGCAATCATCACAGTCTTGTTTATGGCTCTTCCCATGGCCTTGAGAGAGATTCCATCAGATCCCTTCTCCTGTTAAAGTAACAAAAAGAAATCACCTTTAAATTCAAAGCTATACCACACCATAGATGAATATTTCACTTAAAGATATGCCAACAATTCTTACATAGGCTGAATTAGCAAAAACTGATGACTGTCAAGACAATATACAAGACAGAAACCTGTCATCATAAAATATGCAGTTTTTAATAGATAACATCAATCATATCCATGAATCTCATCTAGACCGGACCGACACATGAAAGTGAAACAAGGCTGTCTACAGCACCGTCTGCAAATCAAAGTCAGAGGCAAACACAAATCCCACTGCACCACACAGGTATCTAAAAAAATAGCAGATCATAATAAGGAAAATTACAGAGAATCATTATGCTTCACTTGCAGTCTTGACAGCACAAATAAATCAGCCTAAACTTTATTTTATTTTTTTAAAGTAAGAAAACGCAATCTCTGTATAAGCAAACGCACGCACAGGCATTCGAATTGTGAGGTCAATTTATTAATCAACGTTGTAAGATATGAAATAGTTTATCGAAACACAGAGAGAGTAAAAGAAAAGGACCAGAAAGAGCGTGGTGGCATAAGTAATGTAGTTCCTCATTCTTCCTTGAGTAGTGATGCGAATCTCATTCTCATTAATCGGTGTTTCGGTTCTTGGCTTCTCTACCCTCTGGTACCGATCCATTCTCTATGACGCCGAGAAAATAAGCAGGTAGAACAAATTGAACAAGCTAGGGTTTTTTTTTGTTGGCTCCTACGGTACCGTTTTTTGAGTTTTGAGTAGCAGCGCAGGGTTCTCTTCTCTTGTGTGTTTTTTGTTTTTCAGCTGCGAAGAGGTGAGGGAGATAAGAGGGGTAGGGTTTCTTCTGTTTTTTTGAAAAGGAGGGCGGTCGCTTCGGCAACGAGACCGGCTTGTTAAAATGATGACGTGGCTCCCTTGGGTATCATTGTAATTGTACTTTCGGTATATCTGAGAAGCGATGTCGTTTTTGTTATATTTGAGAAGGTTAGGGGTGTTTTATAGTACATTAAAAATTGTTTTTCAAAATATTTTTTACATTTAAATATTTTTTTTATTTTTTAAAATCTATTTTTGATATTCAAATATCAAAAAAATCTAAAAACATTAAAAAAAATTAAAAAAATTTAATTTAAAATAGAAAAACAAAAAACAAATTTTAATGAAAAACAATTTCAATTGAAAAACAAACAACAAATTTTAATGAAAAACAATTTCAATTTTAAATCAAACAGTCACAGGTACCCTCGAGTTTGTTTTTGGCAAATTCTGGAAGTTCAGTTTTGTGCGTGCGTGTGCGTGTGTGTGTGTGTTTTAGTTCATGCTGTCCGTTAAAGTGAAAAGAAATATATGCTTTTTTGAAGAGAACAAGCGACAGATGAACAGTGCTTACGATGGGTGCACGAGTGTCTTAGATTTATAAATAATAATATATGATTTGTACAACAGATACAGGTATTTATAAATCTATAAGCATTTAGGATGATTTTTTACAGAATAAATAATAGTATTTTTTTTATTCTCTAATGATAACTAGGTACTTTTTTTTTCCTAAAATTATAATTACAGAAAGACACTGGATTGATGACTTCACTCTGCAGACCATGAGCACAATTTTTTTTTTCTTTATGAAATTTTCTAATTCAGTTATTAATTTTTTTAATTTTATCTTTTTATATTTTTATATTATCCTAATTAAAAATTAAGTATAGTAATTTATTTTAATTAACTTCCTATTGATTCTCATAATGTGAAAAGAATATCCCAATGTTAAATCAATTCTCAATTTGATACAATAGAATATAATTTTATTATTTTAAACAAGTTAAAAGTACATTTACCAAGATAGATATAAAAACAAAAGGGCAACCTTCTTTTCTTATTGCTTACTAGGGGTATATTTTGAAATTCAAGTCAACAATTTTTTTTTTCTCATTTTCCATTTTTCACCTATGTTTATGGGAGTTTTGACATTTTAATCTTATACTTTATTAGTTTTAACATTTTAATTTTATACTTCATTTGTTTTATAATTTAAACCTTAAATTTCATGAAAATTTAAGGAGTTCGTAAAAACACAAGGAAGGAGAGAGATATTTTAACAACCAAAAAAGTTGATATTTGCATCAATATATTTTTTTTTGACGGGAGAAGTTTTATTTGGATATTTTTAACTTCTTGTCTTGCAAAAAAAAATAGATTTGTGTTTATAGATTTTTTTTTGAAATGGGATGGTTTTTGAATTTTTGACTAATCAAATGTTTTTTGAAATTAGAATTTACTAAGGTTTATGGGATTATTTTTAGATTTTTTAAAATGAAAATATATTTTTGATGTCCAAAAAGTAAGGACTTAACTTTAAAAGCATCTAAAATGATTAGAAGACGACCTGTGGACGAACAAATAACATGTTAACTATTATTTGAAAAAATATACAAATAATATTTAGTTCACTCATTTTAAGGTAAAAAAACAAGGAGAGTCTGCAGACTTAAACTTCTTTTCAACAGGCTAGGTATGTTGACCCATCTAGACTAGTGTGTTTGTTTTTTTTTATGTTTTTTTTAAATGTAATTAAAATTTATCAAAATAAATAATTAAAAATGCACTTGAGATGTTATTTTATGAAATATTTTTTTTAAATTTTTTTAAAATAAAACTCCAGCATTTTTTTTAAGATTAAAAAATGCTCTTTTTGCACAACTATTCATTATAATTTTTTATTAAATTTTATTTAATGTCTTTCCGGGCATGTCTACTTTTCATCGTCGTATAATTATATACGAGATGTCATGCTTGTGTGTTGCCAACTATTCATTATATACGAGATGTCATGCTTGTGTCGTATAATTATATACGAGATGTCATGCTTGTGTGTTGCCATGGATTTACAAAATAAATATATTTGATAATATTATAATTGTAAACTAATATTAAATAAGTAATCAAAACTAAAGGTATGATAGAACCAATATTTCATGACATAAAAAAAGTTGTGTTGGTGATTAAAAAACTTACAAACTGAACAAAATGATTTGTAATAATTCAAATTTTTTTACGAGAAAATATGCAGTGCTTTTGTCATATTATTTAACTTTTTTGTTAATAAAAAGCAAGTTTGAAAGGAAGAAAACACACAAGGAAAAACATTATAGCAATTAATAATGTTTATGAGGAAAATTACAGTGTTTTCTCCAATAACATCAACAAGGATAATTTTAGAAAACAAATCTTAAAAAAACCATTTAGATAAATATTGTAGCAATTCACGGTGTTTTGTAAGAAAAACTATTATACTTTTCTCATATGATATAGTTTCATTGAATTATAATCTCTAACCAGCTCAATATTAAAAAAAAAATCAACAAAGATAATTTTGGAAAAAAAGTCATATGGAAAAACACTACAATAATTCATGGTGTTTTAAATAAAAAAATTACAAAGTTAAATTCTTAATAAATTCAATATTAAAAAAAATTAAAAAAGTGATAGAGACAATTTTAGATAAAAAAAAAAAAAAAGGGAAACAAAACTATATTGGAAATACAGTAGCAATTCATTGTATTTTGTGATGAAAGTCAGTGCTTCCCCACGTGATTCAGTTTTATTTGTAATGACTTATAATTGCAATTATTAACCAGCTCAATATTACAAAAAAGAACTGATAAAGATAATTTTAAAAAAATTATAAGAAAAAAAACCATGGTAAGAGACACTTTAATAATACACAGTGTTTTGGGAGGAAAGTTACAACTCTTTTCATACATGATTAAGCTTTATTGTAAAGTTAAATTTTAATCTGCTTAATATGAAAAAAAAAAATCAACAAAGATAATTTTTTAAAAAAAATATTGCAAAAAATGCAAAAGAAATTAGAAAAAAACCATATGAAAATAAATATCATGGCAATTCACAGTAATTTGCAAGGAACGTTACAGATTTTTAGATATTGTAATTGTAATTTTTAACCAACTCAATATTAAAAAAATAAAATCAAAAAACATAATTCTTTAAAAACTATAAAAAAAAACAAAAAAACCATGCAGATAAACACTGTAGCAATCAATAATGTTTTTTAAAAAATTACAAAATAAAATTCTCGGCAAGCTAAATATTAAAAAAATAAAAAAATAATTTTGAAAAATAATAAAATAAAATAGAAAAACCATATGGGAAAACACTATAGTAATCCATAATATTCTAAAGGAAATAAAGTGAAAATTTTAATCAACCCAATGTTAAAAAAGTAAAATCGACAAAGATAATTTAAAAAAATAAACAAAAAAAAGAGGAAAAGAAGGAATGCACTATAAATTGTTGTTGTAATCCACTGTATATTAGGTATGGTTAAAAAGTGAATCACCCATACCGTGTAACTTATTATTTAATTGAAAAATAAAATAGAAAAATCATATGAAAAAATATCATAGTAATTTACAATATTTTAAAAGAAAAAATTACAAAGTGAAAATTCCAACCAACTTAATATTAAAAAATAAAATCGACAAAGATAATTTAAAAAATAAATAAAAAAAGTTGAAAAAAAGGAAATTAATTCTGAAAAAAAATAAAAAATAAAAAGAAAGTTGGAAAAAAAGAAGAAAACAAAATACCGTTGCAATCTGCATGTTTATTTTTTAACTAATAACTCTTGTTGATATTTATTGCTGAAATATAATTTTTCATTTATTTCATTAATTATACACTTTAAATTTCTAATTTATAGTTAAAAATTTTCTCAGTTCTGGAAAATTCATTGATAATGCCTATAGACTTGTTTTCATGTTTTAGAAAATTGATCCAGTAGCCCCGCAACAGAACGTGAATCAACTAACTAATTGAACTTAAGGTGAATAAAAACCTAAAGAAAAAATATAAATGAAATCTTTAAAAATATTCAAGAAATATTTTTAGGACGTTCAACAATATTTATTTTGTATTTGAAGTATTTTGTTAAATGAATGTAATCTTCATTTCACAAAGTATAATTAATAAATATTTTTTTTTATTCCTGGACCTTTTTATTAAGCTGGGGTTCTGGATCATTGCCAAAGTTCTCTGGCATTGAATATCAAACATGGAATAAATAACTAATATTTGAAGAATTTATATTAGAAAAATAGCTATTTTTTGAAAATTCTCATGCTCAAGATTATTTTTTATTCTTCTAATTATATTTTACCATAATTGTATTTCAAGTCAACTGAATTACTCGAATATTAAACCTGCTAGCCCCATTATTTCTCGTCCAAAATTCTCCAAAACAAATTCAATGAACCAGATAAAATTAGATTCTATAAATTTAAATTTTTTGATGGTTTAAAATTAGGTTAAGAAAAAATACAAATACGTTAATCTTAGAAATTTATAAATAAATAAGTATATAAATAAATAAACACAATTCGATTAACCCAGTTTTTTATAATTCTTCAAATTACATATTCTCCAAAATTTAGTACTCGAGTTGGTTCGGATAATGCTTGTTTAATAGTGCTCATCCCTAAAAACAACAATAAATAAACCCAGATAGAAAAATATGAGGAGATATTTGACTACGTCCATGCGAGGAGTTTCGATCTCTCCTCTTTCGCTCCATGATATGTCCAGCCACGACTATTTCCTTATATATATATATATTAACGTAAATCTTCAGCTAGTTTATGGATATTTTGACTGATTTAAAGTTATTAATTATGTAAATCTCTAGTATTTATTAATATAATAACTATATAATTCAAACCCAAAATCATGTAAAAAACAAATTTTTTTGTCTCACACTCTTATCACTGAACCCTACTAGATGGTTATGCCCTTTGTATATATTAATATTTAGATTGATAGTTGAATTTAAAGCGTTTTTTATATTTTAAATTATTTTAA